TTTATTTTTCCCAAGTAAGTTATGCATTATTTTACTCCGCAGGAGATCATGTCCAAGAAGTTACTCTATGCCATTAATGAAGGTCAAGGATCGTTTGATTTGTCATAAGTCAAAGTGACTAATAGACTTGTTTATACAACTCAAGAGAATTGGTGCTTCTGATCCTTGATAATGGTGCCGTCAAACCATCCTCTTCAAACTAACAATAGCAAGGTCTGTAAACATCTAGAGGCATTGATAGGATTCTGTTACTACTTGTTTCTGCTAACCTTTATTATTTTCATCAGTTTTCAGGTAAGTTATTTAGATTGCATATTGAGTATTTGTTTCTTGTCTAAAAAATGTAATTTAGCTTGCTGATTTACGTGCCTTGAACGTATTATTGCTTCATAAAAAATAAATTTAAGTGTTGCTGCCTTCTTTTTGGCTGTTTAATTTCACAGCTGACATGGAAGCGTTGTTCAAGATTTCTCCAGGGTTCTTTCTGCTGCTGTGAAGCTTGTTCAAGTTTTCTGCAGGAGTAACTTGTTTTGTAAATGTTAGTAAATACGTAGCAAGATTCTTCTTTCATTTTTGATTTATTAAGTTGGTGAAGTACATAAATGTAAGGTCACAATGTTGCCTTCTTCCCTTTGCTTCTCTTAGATTTAAAATTATACACCTTTGGCATTTCACCTTATATTTAATACATTATAATAAATTCCACCATTTCATGTTCCTTGTCTATCTATTGCTTCTCCAAAAATGATTGTTTGAAGTATGCTGAAGTTATCATCCTCAAATATAGGTTACTCCTCATATAAAGGGGTAAAAAATTGATTGAAAATTATATTTATGCCTAAATTAAAAGATAGTACTTACAAATTACTAGTTTGTTTCATAAATGTAAGATATGATAACCACAATCTTAGATACAATAATATCTACATTGTCTATTATGGTAAATAGATAAATAAATATGAAACATTGTATACTAGCTATAAGAACCATCCTGCATCATAACTCAGAAAATATATTTGAAGATGAATTTCATGAAAACATTAATAGTATTTTTGGTTATCTCTCTTTTGGAACTTTTTTCATCCGGAGATTTAATAGAATATGTTTGTCGAACGTCTAATGACTTCAAAACATGCATCAATTCTCTTAGAGCAGATCTTAAGAGTTCTTCTGCTGATAAAAAATTTTGGGTGGATATTCTTCTTCAGAAGTGTTTATCAAAGACAGTATTTACAATGAAATTGTAAGTCTACTCAAGCAAGCAAAGGAACCTGTTCTCAAGAAATGTCTTAAAATTGGTAAGATAAATTATGATGAGTTGATAGATGTTGCTACAACATCAATTAAATTTTTTGATGCAAATAACTCATTGTAGGTGGTCGAGTCACTCGTGAAGACAGAACTACATGTTAGAGAATTCACAATAAAATCAGGAAGTGATTATTTGAGGAATTTTATTGGTTTAATATTGAGTTTGCTAAAGCAATTCAGAAATTAATTTGTAACTGGCATTGTCAATTGAATTTATAAAATGTTGCCTTGATTTTTACATAATGATTATGTTAAAATTTACTTTTATGAGTTGTCGTCTTTTCCTCCCTTTAATTCCTCCATATATTATTTTTCTACCATATATGTTAACTAGTCTTGGGCACGTATGTCCCATGCTAAATTGTGTGGAGTTGTTATAACGATATATATATACTAGAACATATATGTTGCCCATGTATTTCATTCTTAATTAGTACAAGAACTTTGAAAATATTATAATTAGTGTGTGATAAGTTGCACAAAAATTGAAGAGAAATTTATATATACAAGCTCAAACCAATAACTTCAATTATGCAATTCCTATTATATATCAAGTATTCAATTTGATAAAAGTTTCTTTTGTTTAATATGTCACAACTCATAATTTAAATGTCAAATGTGATTTCAAAATATTTCTTGTCTTAAGTTTTTCATCTCCTTTTAAAGAAATTGTAGTCTCCACCTTTTCACATTTGCATATGTATTAAGAAGTTGTTGTCGAATGAGAGTAGTGTTTTGGAAAAGTTATATAGAAATTTGATCAATCTATGTCTTCCTTAAGATGGCTAGTAGATCATCATTGTGCGATAACTTGCATAGTAATTGAAGAGAAAATATACAAGTTCAAATCAATGAATGGCGAGCCTATTCAATCAAGATTATTATCAGTAGAAGGTACATCATGCTGAAATATTGTTATCAAATGAATTTCAAAAGTAATATTCGAACAATTTTAATTATGTATGTTTTTAATATATCAAGTATTCAATAATAATTGCTCAAATATCTAATCGATGTATATAAATCATAATTATTATAGGTATGTGTACCCCTTGCCTAATTCAAAATTATTTCTATCATCTGTGAATTTAACAAAAAAATATTAGTTAAATTATGTAAATTGATTCCTAACCAAAATTTACACCAAACGAGAATATACAGTTTCATGATACTCCAAAAAGTTATAATTAAAAAGAAAGTAATCTTACCTGATTTGATATTTCCATAACAAATTTCTATGTTGCAAGAAGTGAAATAACTATGATACAAACGTTTGCATACCCAAGTAAGATGAACTTTCAACTAATCAGAAAACATAAATGAATAAGTTGAATTAAAGACAATAACTTATAATGTGAATAGAAAAAATAGAGCACATAAGCAAAGTAGAAAAGAGAGACACAAACACAAAATGAATATGAAAAAATGTCATCTACACAAAGTAGGATTGATAATATAATAATTTGATGAATTGAAATAGTTGTCTTGTGATTTTTTCACTATACATACACAATATATAGCATTTAGTAAATGAATATATTGTATTGAATTGATCAAAAGAATTTACTCCACATTGAATATACCAAGTAACTTTTCCAATTCTCCATATGTTTATTACTCCCTCCATTTCAAATTAAT